ATGTTCTAATTTTGTTGTACTATACTGTAAACTGAAACCTCAAATAAAGCTAGGCTTTATTTATAAGCTATATATATACTGTTTACACTGTTAAATATACTATATAGTATATTATTGATTTAAATGAACAAAAAAATGTTTGGACTCTTTCTACAATATTAACATCGACAGCATTAACTCACACATTTAGATCTTACTTGTTTCTAATGTAAAAAAATGTAAATAAAATACCGTGTGCCTTTATTTTGAAACAAAGTCGTCACGCCCGGATCTTTTTTTTTTTTTAACACTTGTCACTCAAAAACATCTCGGTTACGTATGTAACCTTGGTTCCCTGAATAGGGAACGAGATAATGCGATGACGTCATCGTTATGGGAACACCTCCAGTGTGACGAATGTCTGAAGCCCTTATACCATCACACCAATTTATTGGCCAATAGCGCTTAGCACCACCCCGAGCATACGTCACGTATGCTCATATATGTGTTCATCAGATTTTACACTATGACGAAGGAAGCGCTATCGAAGGTACGGAATGGCCAGCATTGGAGCATCTCGTTCCCTATTCAGGGAACCAAGGTTACATACGTAACCGAGATGTTCCCTCTCATAGGTTCACTTCAATGCTGCAATGACGTCATCGCTATGGGAACGCTATACCATCATGCCTGACGTACCTAAGAAGACTGAGGAAAGAGTCTGCTCAAGCGGAAGACACCCGGGAGCCAAGAGCCATCCTCACGCCCAGACAAGTAGAACTTGATGAAAGTGCTAGGAAAGGACTAACATGCCACAGCACAGATATCTCCCATCAAAGGCCCTTTAAAGAGAGCCTGAGAAGAAGCCAATGCTCTCGTAGAATGAGCACGCACCTCTAGAGGCGAAGTCACACCACGCGCCTCATAGGCTAGAGATATAGCTTAAGGTTTCAAAGTTACAGTGGGTACGGAAAGTATTCAGACCCCCTTCAATTTTTCACTCTTTGTTATATTGCAGCCATTTGCTAAAATCATTTAAGTTAATTTTTTTTCCCAGACTTAAACGGCTCAAATGGATGGCCTGCCAGGCCTTCCAACCTAAAAATAGGTCCCAAAAAGGAATCTGTGCTGGGAGGAAAGGCCTAAGCCGTCTCGTACCTGCATGAAATGGGAAACCAGAGGGTGACATCCCGCTGAAACACCTCTATGGGTAATGCTCAGCAGATATGGCAGCCACATAAACCTGTGGCAGGTCCCTACAGGGTAATGGACTGGGTCCAGATTGTGTCCACTTAAGGGCATACAGTGTCTCGTGGAGGGAGCCCTAGAATTAAGAATAGTGTTGGTAATCTCTGCCAAGAGACCGGACACATTACAACTCCGTTTAGGGGTCACACCCATTAGTTCCAAAAATCCTGATGGGGATGTCCAAATCATGCCCTGAGCCTGAGTCATCAGGTCGTGTCTGAGGGGAACCTCCCAAGGGGGTCAGCTAACGGACTGAACAATTCTGAGAACCACGTACGAGTGGGCAAAACGGCACCACCAACAACAGATGTTCACTCTGGCCAACCTTACTCTGAACAGAATTGTTTGGGAGCAAACGGGTCAACGGAAAGGCAAAGACTGGTCCTGGGCCATTTTTGGGCTAGAGCGTCCACACCCAGAGGCGAAAGAGGAGACAAGGAAACCAGAGCGGGCAATGCTTATGCTCTAAGCAAACAAATCAACTTCCGCTCGGCCGAACCTCTGCCATATGAAACTCCCCACCTGAGGGTGCAATCTCCATTCTCCAGCCTCCAAACTCTGTCTCAAGAGTAAGTCCACTCCTGAGTTCAGGTGACCCAGGACACGAACTGCTCTGATCGACAGGAACCTGGTCTGCGTCCAAAGAAGAACACATCTCACCAACCTGCACAGGGGGCGAGAGCGTAATCCTCTCTGACAATCCATGTATGGGACCACAGCCATGTTATCAGTCCTTGACCTAATGTGACAACCACTCAATTGGGTAAGAACCATTGGGGTGCCAGAAGGACGCTGCTCCAAACAGTTTGTGTGATTGAGCTAATATCAGCCAATCGTCAAGGTAACTCAAAACTCAGACACCCCGCCACAGCAGGGCCAGAGAAGCATCCATTCACCTTGCGTTCGAGGCCAGTTCAATGGAAGAATACAGTATTGGCAAGCTTTATTCCAAAAGCAAACCTGTGGAACTTCCTGTGTCTCTTGACGATCTGGATGCAGAACTACGCATCCTTAGATCGATGGTCACAAACCAATCTCCGGTTCAGATAGAGACAGGATGAACTTCTGCGTCAGCATCTTGAAATTGCTTACTCCAAGCACAAGGTTAGGTGACGCAAATCCAATCAACCCATAGAAGCTGGATGGTGTAACCATACGACAGCCTGATCCTCCCTCATGAGGCCCAGAGACACCTGAGTTGTGGGAAAAACCTCTGAAACAGGAACGGATACTAAAAGGCATGCCAGCACCAACCACAGAGTGGGGACTTGGATGTCAGCATAGACCCTGCACCAATGGCTTTAGGGCTATCCTCTCGATATCCTGCAACAGCGGAGCTGAAAAGAACAGAGTAATTAGTTATGCAAACCACTGCTTGGTAGCATGAAGCACCTAACATCTCTAGTGCACAATAATGTTTCATGCTGCAGTCACAATGCAGCCAGTCATGTGAAGCGAGTGTTGGTAGCAAAAGCGCCGCATCAATCACATGAAGTAGGCTGACCATGGTGAGCATTAATAGCTTGCCATAAGAGATACTCTTACATGTGAACTCATTCACACAGTAGCTCAGCTCAGTGCATCTCAGTTGGGATGAGAAGAATAATGATTAGTTATGCAAATAGTGTTGGTAGCCTGAAGTGCCAAAAACCATGTTGCACGACAAATGTGTG